GAGACTGAGAGTATGAAAAACCATTAGAAGTTCTTTTGATTTTAACCCCTACAATCACATCTACTTCTCCAAGATCTTTCATTTTAAATTCAGAAGACAATAATTCTTAGTCTCATTAACGACATTCACATTAGGGCCAAAGATTAACATGTCATCCACATACAAACATATAATAACACAATCTGATCCTATCATCTTGGAATAAACACAAATATCAGATTTCGATGTGTTAGTTTGAATGAATAAACCAAATTTAAAAAAATAAAAAATAAAAATTTAATTAAAACACAAGGGGGACGCTAAACATGCCTTACAAACTGAGATTTGTACTTCTAACTTCACTTATAAAGATGCACCCATTAATCATTGTACCATAAGACTCTTTGAGCTTGGGTGTAAGCATATATATNCCTTAATTACATAATTCTAAATATATATATATATATATATATATATATATATATATATATATATATATATATATATATATATATCCACTCGGACTCGAACCGAGATGCATTAGCACTACTTCCTAGGAGCAGCGTGTCTACCAATTTCACCATAGCGGCCTGTCTTAAACTCATAATAGCCTATGAATAAGCAATCGTTGAGATTGAGGAAGCTAATTTAGTTTNATCGTTGAGATTGAGGAAGCTAATTTAGTTTAGTAATGATTCAAATGGATCAATAACAATAAAAAATTGTTCAAATAGGAATTTGAATTTGAAGATTCATTATTTTAGATTTGAGTTTAGAATCTTAATTTTTTTTATTTAACCTGGGACTTTCCTATATTTTATGCTTTCCTCGAATTGAACTCTTGTAACTAACTATACTCAATTAAGGAATAGAGTTCAAAAAAATTTTGTTTTCATTGTTTGATCAGTTATTTCCTATTTATTTTATTTCAGAAATCTAAAACAAAAAATGAATTTGAAGACAAAATAGAAAGAAAAGAACCTATATATAACCAATGAATTTCATATACTATTACATTAAATTAAATGCCATGAAAATGTGGAAAAACAATTTGAACTCGAAGATAACATGTGGTATGCAATTCACAAATTATAACAAGTCTATAGTCTGATTACTGAATTACAAGTCTAGTGATTAAACAACAAATAAATATATTAATTCCTCGATGACATATGACTATACATTCTCAAGCAATGAGTTGTTTTCACCTTTAGCTATTTGTTGCTTTGCTGAAGGTCGTGAAATTGTAAGCTTACATTAAAATCAGAATATAAAAAAAAAATATTGTGTGATCCATATTTTATAAGAACAATAATATATGGTACTTTGCATATTTATTTTTGGATAAAGCCAAGACTAATACAAAGTTGGCCATGAAACAAAGTCAATACCCGCCTTATGACAGTACTCAACTATAAATAGGGATTTATAAATTAGCTTAAATAAATTAGCTCGAAGAGAGCATGACCTACTGTCCAGAAATTATAATTCTTAGTGTATACCAGCTAGTCTAAAATAACTTAAATTACAAGTCTAGCGATTAAACAATAAATTAATAAAGATTAAAGACATTTCTGTACGACATATGTGATATGACTTTAAATTCCCAAACAATGAGCTGTTCCCAAACCAGTTTTTAAGATAATATATAGTCAAATAAACGTACGCGAGAAAAGAAAACGCCATCCATTGATTAATTAGAAATAATTAATGGCTTGTTCTAGCCCCAAGTATCTCTAATCTAATTTAAAAACTATGGGATTTAACATCATTTTTAGCTATGTGTTGCTTCGGAGAAGGTGGTGAAATCTTAAGCTTATATTAAAATCAGAAAGTAAGTTTTTTTTTCCATGATCCGATAATCCAAATTTTATATTTGGGTCAGAAGACTAATACCATATGGTACTTTGAATATTTCTTTACGTATAAAACTTAAAGGTAATTAAGACTAATACAAAGTTGGCCATGAAGCAAAGTCAATAATTTCCCTTATAAGGACACTCAACTATAAATAGGGATTCTCATTCCTGCACTTCTCTTCATCCAAAAACTAGTTTCTTTACATTTTTAGCATCATTTCAAGTCTATCTTCTAGTAAGCACAATTACAAAAAAACATGGCTATTTCTGTCAACTATTTTTCCACTCTTATGATCTGCATGATTTTGCTTCTGCCTGCACTTTGCTACGGAGCTCACAACTATGATTCGAAAGCTACCTTTTATAAGACCTCCGATGGGAAAGGAACACCAAGTAAGTAGGCGTTTGGACATAAAAATTGTAATTTGGACATTCATTTCACCTGAAAAAAAGTTGCAGTTTTGTGGGGTGGGGGGGTTGGATTTTGAAAATTTTGAAAGTGTGGTAGTGTGGTTTTTCAATTTGAATTTTTTTTAAAAACTTGCAAAATTTCGTGGACAAACAAAAAAATCGAAAAAAAGAAATTTTCTTTATGGACAAACGGGTACCACCTTAATTTCCCCTGTTGTTTCATCCGACTGTTTTGTGAATTTTCATTTTTACATCCTCAAGGAATTAAACTCTATAAGAATATAAAGGGGTTATTGAACGATGTTTAACATTTGAACTTTCAACATATTTGATCAGATGGAGCTTGTGGTTATGGAGAGTATGGCAGAAATGTGAATGATGGGTTGGTTACCGCCGCATCCTCGAAACTCTACAAGAATGGAATTGGTTGTGGTGCATGTTATCAGGTACTATAAATACTTGCATGTTACTTATGTCATAATTGAAGTCTATGAAGGATTACGTTAATCTATACTTATAAATAGTTAGCGCGTAAAACGTAAAATGAAGAACTTAATCACTTGTTTTTCGTAGCGGAAGCAAACGAAGCGCAGGTGGAATTATTGACTGGTGGTGATTGTTACGGAATGTCGGACCAACCGCCTAATTTCACAGTATAAATCCTAAGTAGGATGGAAGAAGAAAGCGCGTAGAAAATTACTGCAGACAAGGGCGGATGCACGTTTAATGAAGCGGTGCCACTGCCACGCGGTACCGCTTCGTCGAAATTTTTTACTATATGTATCAATACTGTGAGGAAACAGATAAGTAAAAAACAAGACATCACTTGACATAAATTGTCTCTTGGTGTGTTCATTATGTGCTTGATTTTGCTCTAAAAGATCAGAGGTTGTATGGTTAAAAATTGTGATAAAGTAGAATTGAACCCAGACCTTTTCTAACTTGAAACTCAACAATACCAATAGACTAAGATATTTCTTGTCTAAAAAAAAGTATGATAATTGAAGTTATTATTTCCGTCCTTCTATAAATTTCGACACCACTTACAAAAATTCCTGCATACGGTCCTGACTGCAGAGAGTATATTTTATTATAGTATATAAGTGTACTTACATAGAAAATACTAGGGTTAACTAATAACACTATAGTGAGCCTTAAAAGCATCCCTTACAGGTGGACCCAAATTTCCAACCGTCTATATATGTGTGTTTGGCAACGCATATATAGCTGATTTTAAGCTCGAATAAAAGGAAGACGATAATTGCAACCGGATAGATTTTAATAACTATTTTCTATAACTTCAACTTAATCCAGTATTTTCGACAGGTGAGGTGCAAGGACAAGGCACTATGCAGTGACGTGGGAGTTAAGGTGAAGGTGACAGACAGTGGAGAAGGGCCAGGAACTGACTTCATTCTTAGCTCAGATGCCTTGGCCAAAATGGCTAAACATCCTAAGTTAGCTCACATGTTGTTCCCAAAGGGCGTGGTCGATATCGATTACAAAAAAGTTTCTTGCAAATATGGAAATCTCATTATCAAGGTCAATGAACATAGCAACTATCATGGCTACCTTGCTATACTTCTATTGAACAATGGTGGTTACGCTGATATCCTAGCCGTAGAAATCTACGAGGTATATCTACTATATATATACATATGCCCATTTCTAAACTTCAATTTGATGATTAATTTTGGGACCTTTACACAAACAGCCAGTTGGATTCACTATACACTTTTTCTACCCGGTATACATTGATTATACATGGTTATTAACACATTATACATGGATAATAAATATTATTATATATTCGGTGTGTATTCTCAGGAGCGGCCCGGCAAATTTTGTGGCCTAAAGCCAAACTTTAATGAGGGGCCTTAACGTTTTTTAAAAAAAATTACTATTATCTTATTTGAAATCTATTTTCTACCTTTAATTTTAGATGCAAAGTTATTAGTAATAATTATCGTATAATCAATTTATAAGTCTTTCTCAATTGACAATATAGGTCAAATTTGTTTTCCCTTTTTATACAACTTCCCGTGTGTTTTTACTTTTTTCAATTCACGGAAATTCTTTTTAACTTATATATAGCCTATTAGGTGTAATAAAAAATAGAGCCCCATAAATGTGAGGCCTAAAGCAGTTATTTTATAACCTGCATTAAGGAAAATGATATTTTGACACCGACCATTGAGCAAAAGAATATACTAAAATGAATTGATTGACTACGTATTAATAGATTCTTGGTTTTTGATATTAAATTTTGGGTTGATATATACAGGAAAAAAGCGAGAAATGGATACCTATGAGGAGGTCATATGGAGCAGTATTCGACTTGTCCAACCCACCAAAGGGAAATCTGAAGCTGAAGATCCAAATAAAAGAAGATGGAAAGACCAAATGGGTGCAGTCTGACAAGACTGTGATCCCTGATCACTGGAAGGCTGGTGATGCCTATGAAACTGACGTTCAGATTCCTTGAATGAATATAATTCATTGAATGGCAATTTCTCGATTGTGGTTTGGTGTCGAATGAAGTTTGTGTAGGTCATCAGCCATTGTGGTTTAACTAAATGTTTGTTTGTTAATAATAAGGCTGAAATTCCTGTATTCTTGTATAGAAATTATGAAATAAAACATTGCCGTATCTTGTGTTATTCGTGCACTTTGTCTTGACATTTCCTTAAATTGCAATACTTGAGTCAACCGCAGAAATCCTGCATCCTCCACTAGAGATGTAAAATGCTACTCTTGGCAACTGAAAAGAGGAAAGTGAAACCTGATTCATGTAATTAGGAGATGAGAAAGCAAACTAACCGATTCAAAAAGCGTCTAAAAGATCATACAAAAAGTCTGGTTCCGACTGGGATCACACTAGTCAGCCTATACAAGCTTCTTCTGATGAAGTAAGAAGTTTCATTGACGGAATCAACAAGATGCAGTAAGTACAGAAGAGAGTTGTAGCTCCATTACATAAGAGTAGTTAGCCTATACAAGCTTAATGTTTCCATGAACAACCGGCATGCACATAATAACAACATAGCATCTCAGACTAAACAAGAAGAAATACTATTGCAGAGGGAAAAAAAGACAATGATATATGAGTAATTCTTCCATTCAACTACAGTAACGAAACTTTACAAATCCTAGTACATCCTACCAGTACAGTCTGAAGATCCACAAAAGCACCTCTTCACCTTGATCTTGCCATCAGAGTCATAAACCTGATCCACAACATAGTTGTAATGGTAAGAAAGCTCCTTCAAGGGAGGAATATTATCTGCCGCAAATAGCATGATATGGGGCATTTTCTTATCTTCATGATCATAAACAACATTCTGTGCATACAAGTTGGGTGAACAACTGTGATTGATAAATCGTCCAACATTTCCATAGTGTGCTGCATCAATGGTATAACCACCCTCATCTGCTAACTCAGTTAGGTCTGCTTGTCCAGAAGAGTTAGCAGTACAATCACTATAGTTCTTTCCAATATCAAAAAGATATTCATCACTACCAATTCTTTGTTCGGCTTCTCTGTCCTCAAGAATTATCTCCTGCATACTCACAGATAAAGGTTCCTGAAGAGATAGAAGTTACAGCTCTCACACCCCAGCCCCTTTTATCCGTCTTGAAGATCTCCAGCGGAATTTTAATACCACGTTGGCTCACTCTATTATAGCACGAAGGAGGGCACGTACATGAAGGACCACACTCATACACAAGAGGCTTAACTTCAACAATAGCCCCATTGCGGTTGTATGGGATCTCGCCTCCATTTTTAACTGCACATGAGCACCTCTTGGCATCAGAACATCTACCAATACAATCGCAGCCTTTAGGTGGAGCAGGGTGGAAACCATCCGGATATATCATCTTCTTGATGTAATTGAATGGTGGGGGTTTCTCACCATCGATTGTGTTCACAGCAGTTATTGGCAATGACTCCTTTCCTTCTGTAATATCAGGAACACAAACACCATGCCGCACTTTGGACTTTCTTGATGACTTTACTTCTCTCCAAGTAAGCGCTGGTTGTCCGGGAATTCTCACCAACTTAAACATAAAGACCAGCTTACCATGTGGCCCTCGTTCTGTCCAATAATTTTGAACAGTGTACAAGCCATCGTACACATAAGTTGTCACCAAATTAGCTCTTCCATCTGTGGATTCGGCCTTAGATCCACGAATCACCCGAACAGGATTCCTTGTAGCTATACTATTCTTCAAGGCTAAATTACCTTTCACAAGTTTCTGGTCTTCGGGGGTTTTGTCCTTGCCAGTCAAATTTCCACCTTGCCCAGAATAAATCAGCTCATCAGCATCTCCCAAATCATCGTCATAGCCCCCTGAAGCAACAATGCTAGTTGCAACCAGCATTCCTCCATTGTTCAGGAAATCAATACCGGCTTGATATAAGCGATGAACTCCCACAAGAACAAGTTCAACCCTGTATTGGAACGCATCTCCTACTTCAACTCCCGGAACTTTTCCCAGTATCCGGGGTCCTGTATTAACTTTCTTCCCTTTTTCTTTGATAAAATTCGATGCTTGAATATCAATCCTCCTGTTCTTTTTATCTTTTTGCTTAGGTTTTACTTCTACATTGAATTCTTCCCCTTGCAAGATTTTTCTACAAATAGACTGAAACAGACGAAGAGTCTCTCTGACTTTACTACGAGCATCATTGCTGCTGGAACCAAAAGGTGGCAGATTCACATTAAATTCACGGTGCCCCCGTCCAATTGGAGATTCTTCAGGTAGTGCCTCCCTATTCAAACCACGAGCTCTACCGTTGAGGGCAACCAGTGCATTTGAATATCCTTCCGCAGCTTCACCAATGAAACCTGATTTAGTCCTGCCAAATTGTCTCCGTGAAAATTTTGTTTTAGGAATACTTTTTCTGGCAACAGCTAAGGATTTCTTCTGCCGATGCATGTTAGGCTTTTGAACTTGGTTTCTCCTCGTCACACCATCTAAACTAGTTTGATTCATCTGCTTCCAGGGACAGTATGGCTCTGCCATCAGACCATGCACAATTGGCCTAATATTTTCATTTACAGAACCAAGAGCATACCTTGCAGTAGTAGCCTTTTCACACTCATTCTGTGAATGTACGATCTTCTCCTTCCCCACAATTTTTTCTGCATCATCATTCTCCTTTTTCGTCACTGTCTCTGGCAAAATAATAGTTCTTTCAAGTTGGCTCCTCCAAATATAACTGTCATGGACATCTTTGGGATTTTCAATGCAAACTGTTGTTCGTTCCATTAAGCTACATTTGGAACCAGTAACCTCTATCTTACTCAAAGAATCAGCTTCTTGACTTGCAGTCAACTTCATGTGCGATGTCCCAGTACCCATAACATTTTTCGACGTCTGAATCGATTCATTTTCTGTAACTTCCTTATGGAGCACAACCACTCTCTTGCTTGCTTCAGTACCACCCAAGCGATCTTGTTCAGTTGGCATAGGAGCATTTCTTCCACAAAATGGAGGGAAGTCACGAACAGCGAAGACTCTTCTTTGGCAGTACTTATTCTTGGCAAGGGGGAACTGTTATCTGCAGTATTTTCACTGATGGTGACCACAGCATTTTCCTTGTGGCTCAAGTCAATTTTTGGAGCATTTCTACCACAACCTGAGGGGAAATCACGCACAGCCCAGACTTTTCGAACTTTATGTTTTGGAGTAACGCCAAAATGCAAGGTGTGACAACCATTTTCTGATGGCCGCTTCTTCATGCATTCATTGGATAAACCATTATTTGAAAGTGACACCATCCTCCACCAAATGAATGAATCCTTGTTTTGGCTAGTTGAAATGCTGAAACAACAAATACTTTATATTAGAATTAATAGATAATGGAGAAGCAAAAGCTTTATGTGACATACTATGATCATTGAAAGTTGGATAACATTCTGATTCTCTACCATTTTTAAGCGTGAGTTGTTTTTCGGTACTTACATTGTTAAAATCTTTTTGGTTAAGTATTTTCTAACTAATTTGCTTTTATGTGGTGAATGAGAAGTGAGACAAACTTTTGAGCTTCACATATGAGTACTCAAACTAAAAAAACAAGAAACAATTTTTTTTTTTTAAAAAGTCACACGGGTCGTGTGACATTTTTCTAACCAAATTCTGTTAATGACCTTACAGGATATTCATCTTGGGGCCTTTCTTGCTATCTTAGCCTAAAACTCTAAATGATAATGACTGAAACTTCTATTTTCTCCAGGAGCAAAAAGTACGAACTCGGTATGATCTAGAACTTGAACTATGCGGATTCAAGTTTGGATTCTACCACAACTCCTGTGACTTACTGGGTTCGAAATCAGTATTTGTACTTATTTATAGTGAATTTTTTAACACATATACGGGGTCCGAGCCAAAGACATTACACTCTACATCCGCCCTCGATGTTTAGACTACATTGTATACAAAATATACCAATAACAATAAGTAAAATGTCAGCTGAAGAAGATTCAAATTCTAGATAGCCCTTAACATATTCACAACCCATTTACCAAAGGGGCCCCCAGAAAAGGTGGTGGAGTAGAATAAAGGGATTATTCCTAGAATTAAAAATATTTCAGAAAACAAAGTGAAGCTAAGCTACAACAGACAAAGAATTTAGAGCACATTAGGGTTTTTCATGCTAGAAAAAAGCAGAGAATAAGGAACTAAACCATACCGATTTTGAGAATGAACTTCCACGTTTCCACTTCAGAGAACTAGATGATAGTTAATCCTTCACCACACACCACACAACCAGCTGCTTTCCTACCAAAAACAAATATGCAAAAAGTATGAAAAACAGTTCACAAAATGCAAAAATGAAAATCCTCAGCAAAGAAATGCAGAACCCAAAAAAGGGAAAAATTAGTAAAAATAGGAAAAATTCAGAAAACTTCAAAGCATTTCACATAAACTCATTGAAACAGTAATATCTTCAGAAGAATCAAACAAAAAATGGGATTGCAAGCAAAAAAAATACCAGGAAAAAGGTGTAGAAACAGAGGAAGAAGGAAGCAATGAGTCAGCTACCGATTCCAGTACTGTTATGAAAATTGAAGAGGCATTTGATTAACAAATAATGTGAACGTGGGTATGTTATGATATTTTGAGTGGGAGCAACAATTTAGGGGTTCATGTATGGAAAATGGCATTGGTGCTGTCTTCTGCTTACTGACATTTTTGTAACTGTAACCATTTCTGGAAACTGTCCGAGTGAAAGACAGTAAAAGAAATTGGATAAAACAGGAGTTACCGCTGTAAATAAAATAAAAAAAAGTTACCAGGACCGACTTACGCTGTAATATTTTGTTCACTTCTCTTACATAAAGAATTATGGTAAAATCAAGATATTGTTATAAAATAAAGACTTTAAAGTAAAGAAATCAAAGACAAGTAGAGAGAGATATTTATTATTCAACTTTAAATTCATGTACATAATAAATTGAAATCTCCTCTGTTTATAGAAGAAAGCAAGCTGTTGTGTAAGCTGCTACTGTATCATATATAAATAATCTTCAACTGGAGGTAATGTTTATCCATAATGAAGTATCGAAATGATAAGCTTATTGTACCAGGTATGGATAATCTGCTACCGGGGAGTAATGTTTATCCATAACGGAGTATCGAAAGGATAAGCTTATTGTACCCGGTATGGATAATCTTCTACCGTGGGTAATATTTATCCATAACCGAGTACCGAAGTGATAAGCTTCTTCAGGAGGCTTATTTCCAATAGAGTACTAAATAGATAAACATATTTATGGCGGAGTCCCATATGGATAAGCTTCTTCAAGAAGCTTATATACAACGGAGTACTAAATGAACATCCATAATATAATATATATTTATAACACTCCCCCTTGGATGTTCATTAAAAGATAATATGCCTCATTAAAACCTTACTACGAAAAATCCCGTGGAAAAAATCCTAGTGAAGGAAAAATAGTACACATATTTCGTAATACGCATTGCTAGGTGCCTCATTAAAAACCTGTAAGGAAAACCCTGTGGGAAAAAACCTTAGTAAGGAAAAAAGAGTGCATCACGTATTTTACTCCCCCTGATGAAAACCTTGTTTCAAATATTCGAGTCTTCGCATTCCAATCTTGTATACCATCTTCTCAAAAGTTGAATTTGTAGAGAATATTATCCACCACTATTTCAGATCGATTTAAATTAATCTCATCAAATCAAGAAGCTGCTACAAGTCATTTCATTGAGTTCCTTGCAACCTGCCTGCATCAACTGCTTGTAGAAAACTTCAATGGGTACTAAATGGATAATCTTCTTCAGGAAGATTATCTACAGCGGAGAATCCACAATAATATTTTCAAAGCACCCCCCCCCCCCCGGATGTTCATTATTAGGTGCCTCGTTAAAACCTTACTAGGAAAAATCCTGTGGGAAAAAAAATCCTAGTCAAGGAAAAAGAGTACACTAATAATATACATTGTAAACTGCCTCATTAAAAACCTTACCAGGAAAAACCCAGTGAAAAAAAACCTGAGCAAGGGAAAAAGAGTACAGTGCAGAGACTTGGGTATATATGGACCAAGGAGTTCATCATCCTCTTCTGGAGGTAAGAACGGATCCTTAATTCGTGTAGGAGAAGAACTATATCTTGCTAGTAAATTAACAGAAAATGCTATGTCAGGCCTTGTAGCATTAACAAGATACATTAGTGCACCAATTGCACTGAGATAGGGTACTTCGGGACCAAGGAGTTCCTCATCCTCTTCTGGAGGACGGAACATATCCTTATCCAATGGGTGCGCTTTGTCCATGTAAAAGTGGTTTAAGACCCTTTCTGTATAGGCAGATTGATAGATAAAGATCATGTCCGCTAAATGTTTAATTTGCAGACCAAGACAAAGTTTTGTCTTTTCAAGATCTTTCACCTCAACTTCTTTCTTAAGATATTCAATTTCCTTTTGGAGTTCCAACAAGATTTATGTCATCAACATAAACAACAAGTATATCAAATTCTGAATACATGGACACATATATGTAACTTTCTTTCAGCAAATATTCACTGAGGCGATAATACCACATATGCCCAGATTGCTTTAAACCGTACAAAGATCTTTATAATCTGATCGAGTATATTTTCTGAGACTTTGAATTATATGCTTCAAGCATTTTAAATCCTTCAGGGATCTTCATATAAACTTAATCAAATGAGTCATATAGGTTATGCCTTGCATTTAAATGGCATGGCATCTCCAGGTGCCTGGACTACAAGTCTGATCCTTACAATATTGTGCACTATATTGTATCAAATATATCATCGACGATCATATTGTATCGGTTCCTAAGCGACATAACTTGTTGAGAACTCAGCATTTTCTTTATTTTCAGGTACCTCAACTTCTTCTGGAGTTTCATGAAATGTTATGTTGTGGGCTCTTCTAGAGCTCATTTCCTCATCATTATGATTATTTTGATCATTAGCTCCTATAATTTTTCAAGGATTGTTACCTTTGGAACCGATTGGTCTACCACGCTTCATGCGTACATTAAACTCTATCCTTCAGGGACTTTAATTTTAATAGGAGCATTTGCAGCTGAAATATAACATTTAATTTTGGATCAGCAAATGCTTCTGGCATTTTACTTGAATTATCTTCTAAGTGAGGATCATATTAATGATTATTCGATTCATATAGCATATTTTTCAGTTGTTTATTCCATCCCCCAAATGTTAGAAAAACTAACGTATATCCCCAATCTTCTTTGGGAAACATATCTTTGTGCATTCTGGTAGAGAAATTAATCATATACCGCACATCAAAAGATAGTAAAAATATTTGGTTTCTGATCCTAAACCAATTGTGAGGGGAGGACTTATCATATATTGTTGGTCTGATGCATACAAGTGCTGCTATATGCAATTTAGAAAATCTTAGACCAACACATGAAGTTTTTTTCTCAAAAGCAATGGTTTAGCCATTAATAGGAGGTATTTAATGCTAAATCAGCTTGGATATAAACCAGCATTATCAAGATGAACTGTCTTGATTTCATAATCTGAAAGTTATGCTCTTAGTTGAGAAAAGAAATTTCAAATGCCAAAGTGCAGATTGACAATGAACACACATGTAACCATCTTATATATGCATCTATAAGTGGTTCACATGATAGGTGAATGGACCCATATTCACCTTTTATATATTCCCGAATCCAGGGGTCTTAGTCCCAAATTTAGCCGGTATAACTAATTTATTATGAGAACAAGCAGCACAAGAGAATTCTCGAAGAATCTTCTGGTTCTTCAGTATATGCTTATCAGAATTCTCAAATAGCTCATTTGAAAATGGCAAATGAAAACTTCAAGTTTATCATGGCATTTGCTATCTCTTAGTAAACTTCTAGTTTACTATGGCATAAACTTTTGCATTAGTAAATTTCTGATTTACTATGATACATGATGTAGTACAAATTGAAGATATAAGGCGGGTAACTTCTCATATACATATTATTTTACCCCCTGTGATTGTGGAAACGTGAAGATTTTCAATCTTTCAATCATTTGTAGTCTCAATATGATAGCCAGTTGTAATAGTAAACTTCGGGTTTACTACAACATAAGTTTTAACCACAATCATATAATATGAATGACAAATTTGCATATAAGCTCTTTAGGAGTCCTTCAATTTTATTTTCCACAAATC